TATTTAACTACAAGTAGAAAGTATTTTTGATTTTCTAACTTGATGAAAACAAACCATAATCTCATTAATTCTATAGCAGACTTTAGACCGTGACGTCGCGGTTTTTATAAAAATGGCGGCGCCCTGTCGCTAACATCCGCCAGTCTGAGAATATATGCGATTTAGGTTTGTTTTCACCGAGTTACAAAATCAAAACTACTTTCTACTGGTAGTAAAGTATGTATTTGATTGATGGACAATAGGATTTTGCATGACATAGCTTATAACATAACAATTTCTCTCGTGGAAGCGAGGTGGGTGTCAATATAATATACTACTTACAATATCATTGTCACTTCGACCACAACCTCAATTCCGAGGAAAAAATGGTGATGTTACAAGTTGTGTCAGGGAAAATCTTTTTGGTCATCAATCATATGCATATTTTACTACAACTAGTAAGTAGTTTTGATTCTTTAACTTCTGTGAAGCGATCTGAACACAAATAAGATATCGTTTCAGGCTTCTACAACGCTGCTTCGCACTCACAAACATAACCCATTTAGCACGAACTGAGGGGTTCTGTGGAAATCTGTGCATGGCGACACTATCGCCCGACCCCTAGGAGCAATTGATGACAACGCAATGATTCAGCATGTCTTCGTTGATGTCGAGAAATCATCAAAATGACAAGCTTGCTACACACTATATATACAACTAACTGAAAATCATATGACATCACTTCAGTGCTCTGGTGACAGAGTTACGTAACCTGTCTGTGGTTTCGTTGGCGGGCGAGAGTGAAGCAACTTTTTGGCAACTTTTAATCGCTCGGTATTAATTAACCAAGTTTTAACCAAGTTTTTAAAGAATGAAAGACTAACCACAAATCTTTCGTATGTAATGGTTAAAAGAGTACAAAAAATATTTTATTTGTACACAAACACGTGTAAATGGGCAACACCAGAACCGGTTCTTGGTCTTCAAGTTGTTGAGACTTTGGAATTACAAAGGCACACACAAGGCAACCATCCCTGAATTTGTGTAGACAAATGTTTTTTATGAAGTTGGTGGATTTACCTATGGAACTTGCATAAACCTCTCACCTCACAATCATTACTCTTTTTATGCTTAGGGCTTTGGGGTAGCCTAGTGGTTAAAGTTGGCACACCGAAAACCCGGGTTCGATTCCCCACATGGGTACAATGTGTGAAGCACATTTCTGGTGTGACCCACCATGATATTGCTGGAATATTGCTATAGTCTGTTTGCAGTGAAAACGTACCGATGAATTTCACTTTAAGCAAAAATGTAAATCAAATAAAGTGAAATTAAGATTGCAAATCCTCATAATTTTACCTTGCCATTTGCAGGTTTAAATCTGAGAATTTAATTCAACTTAGAATAAAAGTTGTTTAACAAACAATCATAGTTTCAAATCGCTTGTAGTGGTTTGTATTACGAGGATTTGCAATCTTAATTTCACTTTATTTGATGAACATTTTTGTTGAAAGTGAAGTTCATCGGTACATGTTCACTGCAAACAGACTATACAAGCTATGTAAAACCAGACTCACACACTCACTCACTTTGTATGCTTTTCCACTCAGCACTTCAAGGCATCCACCAGTGAAGACAAACATTTGGCCCCAGAAGTTAATCAGTTTCAAAATATTCATATATAATAAACAAAATATGATGTAGAACAACTTTTAATTTCAGAGCTAATGATGTGAACTTGGTGTATTTTTTTTACTTACTCACTTAAACATGTTAATTATGTTATTTCTCATCCATGTTTCATGAAAAGTAGTCACTGTCTCCAAATGGAGCCTTGCAAAATCATTCTTGATGTCAGATTCTGTTTTTTTCATTCCCAAGGGTGTAGGGTCGTAGGTCTGTACACTGCGTTTCAATACAATAATTATCTTGCATGCATAATGAGACGTATAGCAGCTAGACATTTGCCATGTTGTTATGTTAAGGAGGACCATCAGTGGATATTACCAGCAGTAATTGCGGCAGTTTCCCTTGTCTTGTCTGTCTGGTTAACATCTAGTGTTTGTTTATTGTTGTTTAACTTCGCATTAAGGAATATTACAACTATATTTAGTCAGTCTGTAATATCAAGTCTGGACCAGACAATCCAGTGATCAACAGCATTAGCATTGATCTACATTATTAAGATACAATTGCGTGTAAACCAAGTCAGTGAGCCTGACCACCTGATCCTGTTAGTGGCCTCTTAAAACAAGCAGGGTTGCTGAAGACCAGTTCTAACCGAGATCTTCTTGGGTTGACATCTGGTGACCTTCGCGGCCATGACAGTATGCTTATGTTTGAACGTGTCAGTGTAACTAAGATTGATGCTCTGTACAGGCCTACCAAAGAAAACTTTCCCACTGCGCAGAAAAATACAGAAAAGCCCACATTAATCGTGGAAATAGCAACATAAACACATTACCTCGCTACTGAAACAGTAAAAAAGGCAACAAAAAACTATGAAACTGCAACATTTTTATATCAGCGAACTTTGACCTCTACTGTGCATGCACATTACGATCCGGGCTTCTTTCCAATTTCCGAGCAACCGCGAATCGCCTCGCGTAGAAAAAGTATTAAATATGTCGAAATAATTGTTGTCAATAGTTTCATACAAATGGAAAGTAAACTAAACAAGTGTGCATACAAGTATCATGATGATAAATGCCAAATAACATAACAGAAATACTTAAAAAGGAATGTAACTTTTGTCCAAGCTGGAAAATGTCAACATGCAGTCGAGACTTCCTCTTCCATGTGCGCATGCGCAAAATCAAAGTTGCGGGCTCCTCGTTTTATGATGCAGTGTTAGCGATTTAAAGTTGCCGTTTTTACTGTTTCAATAGCAAGGTATTATGTTTATGTTGCTATTTCCACGATTAATGTGGGCTTTTCTGTGTTTTTCTGCACAGTGGGAAAGTTTTCTTTGGTAGGCCTGTCTGTAGGAACAAGCATTGTCATGCTGAAAAATGTCGTCTGATGATTGCAGAACCAGGGACATTGTGAGGACAGAAGATCTTCTCTAAATAACGCATACCTGTTAACAAGGTGAATTTGGGCTTACTGCTCAATATGATCAAGAGATGCCAATCTGTGCAGTTATGGTAAGACCATAACAGGAATCTGTCAGTAGTGAGGGACATTGGGGTAGCTTAGTGGTTAAAGCGTTCGCTCATCACGCTGAAGACCCAGGTTCTATTCTCTACATGGGTACAATTTGTGAAGGCCATTTTTGGTGTCCCTTGTCATGATATTGCTGGAATAATTTCCAGTGAAATGTTTTTGTCCTATAAATGAATTGCTAGTAATCAGTTATATAATTTGAGTGGTTTGTTTATGTCTTGCACAAAGCAAACATTTGTAAAGTCTACAGGCATGTAAGTGCGAAGACATGGTCGAGATACTCTATCTCCTACACATGTTGATGAATATGCAGTTGTGAAGGGCTTAATGAGCATCTCTTGAACAATCATCTCAGAACCATTTAACGAGAACCAAGCCAGGTTAGAGCAGAATGTTTACATGTAGAGATCTTACCTACGTCCTTCTGTCGATCATTAAGAAAATATTTATCCTTTGAAGTGAGAATCGTACAGACATTTAACATTTGATAAGTACAGAATCAACATCTTCCAAGTGCAGACTACCTCATTAACTGTTGTGTATTTGAAACGTAGCAATATTTATACATTGGCTGTATATTACTAAAGGTCTTCCACTTCATTAAAACTTGAGTAGGTGCCTTGTAGCTGGGACTCAGCATACAGTTCTGGAAATAAATTTTAGATATAAACAAAATATCGTTCTACAAGACAGCTGAGTATTAAAAGAGCCATCAAATGGGTCAAATTTCACTTTTGGAATTTAAGAAGGTGAGTATAGCTAGTAGTTCTGAGAAAGGTATGAGAATAGAATAGGGATTATTTTTCAATCAAAACAATCTTTTCTATTGTTTTCAATTTAATATTTATGATGATTGGTGAAGCCCATTCTGGTGTCCCCCACCATGATATTGCTGGGATATTGCTAAAAGTGACGTAAAACATACTCACGCTCCTGTCAGTTGCCATTTTTGCACTCCGTATTATTGGACTCCGTAGAAGTTGCTGAAATGGGGATTAGATGTCTATTTTAGCCACTGCACCATGAGGCTGTACATCTCTTTCTTGGAAGAACTTAATTGACTCTCATAGTATCTGCTATTAGTTCAAGGCCTGATTCAGTTGAAGAATATCTTGTGTCTTTGATGTCATTCACAGTCAAGTCTATTCACTCACAATGGGCGGTGGGGTTAAAGTGTCTGCTCGTCTCGCTGAAGACCTAGGTTCAAGACCCAGGGTACAATGTGTGAATCTCATTTCTGATGTCCATTCTACCCCCACTGTGTGGTATAGGGATTATTTTACTCTTTTGCTTTTTTCTCTCGTGCGGACCGCCTCCGTGGTGTAGTGGTGAGAGCGTCCGCCCGGAGAGCGGAAGGCTGCGGGTTCGATCCCCGATCGCGTCATACCAAAAGACTTTAAAATATGGTACTTGTTGGTCCCTGCCTGGCGCTTCGGCATTAATGGGTACAACAAGGACTGGTCGGCTCGGAGTCAGTATAATGTGTCTGAGTGGGGTATTCATGCTTCACTGCGGCATGGTATCTCAGTGGGCTATTACTATAAAACCAGCTTCAGTCTGGGCTAGTACAAGCAGCCGCACATACATATACACACTCATGCACGTCGTCATATGAGCGAAATATTCTCAAGCACGACGTTAAACCCTATTTCAGCTCAGCTCAGTTTTCTCTCGTCCAGTAATCATAGTAATAATATTTATCAATGAAACTTCAATCTGTAAAGTTCAGTCCAGTTCAGTTACTGTGAAATGTTTTGTTGATTTTTAAAAATTCTCGATACAACATTAATACTGTCAGTGATTCAGATGAATAATGTATACATCTGTTCACCCTTGACATGTTCTACTGTCATGTCTAATAGACATCATCATTCATTCCTGGACCAGGAAGTAAGGTCTGATGTGAATATGTCTTTAACGCCACATCATCTCAATGTCCATCTTCTGTCCACGTCACTCCCAGTGGACGTTGCCCAGCTTGATGGTCAGTGAAATGAACTCCTGGTAATGGATTCACAGTGAAAGGATGCTTGGATAGCTATGCTGGTAAAGTTTTGATGTGTGTCAGGAAATTTATGACTTGTACGGTCATTCTCATCTGCTGGCATGGAAACCATTGATATGTTTGTGAGAAATTTCTGTATTGCCTTGGGCAGGTGTTTGGCTACACTCTGAAATAGTTTGTTTTGGGAATGGAGATTATATTCATGCTTATTTACTGCTATAAAGATGATAAAGCATGTGTTGTGCATTTGGTAAACTGAAAGCCAATGGTTGGTAAACATGGCGTTTGTTTCTATTTTGTGGAGGAGGTTTTATGTAGTCCTAATCAAATATCAAACAGCTTTCATGCATGACGTATAATACAGTGTTTGAAATACAGTTTCATAGTGACAGCTTTCAGCGAGATTGGTTACTGTTTCCCATTGATGATATGAACCTCTCAGCGGGATATTATAATGATGATGGTTATTTCTAGCATAACTAGTTGCTATTTTAGTGGATTTTACTGTGTAAAACAAATATTTTGAGCTTCAAATGGGATTGGTCTAAGTATACACTAAAGTGTGTTGGGATAGGTCTCACACCTGCAGTCAGTCGTGTGGAAAATAGTGTTGGTACAGCACGGGTGTCTTTGTTTACAGTCCAGTCAAGATGAGGAAGGTTTATTTCACCGGAACACCTTCGGGGAGGTTACAAAAGTGTGATCATGACAAGTAATAAAGGAAAGTTAGAAACCTAAATTAGAAACACTGCAACACAAATAGAGTCTGCTACACAAGTGTGTGGCAGACATTCATCCTTAAACAAGTTGTTTCGAAACATATCTAGTTAGCAAGTTACATACGTTCAGAAACAGCAATACCATTAATATATTATGAGTTGTTTCAAAACATGGATTTGGAAACAATGAGAAAAATGGTATTTGACAGACACGAGTACAGTAATCTGTTTCTTACACACCATAAAATCGCACCACTTTAGGGTCGAATAAATTCAGGTTCTCCTCTTAATGGTGCAATAGTACACAACACAACGAATATGAATGAATGATGTCACTCGTTCCTATGGTGACCCTCCACAAAAAAGTTTCTGTGAAATTTGTGCATTATCAAGGCGATGATGATGATGCAATCTAGATAAGACCAAAGAATAATAATGAGGCACTGTAAAACGATGATGTTGCAATGTAGGTGCAGATGTTGTTTTTTTGTAATTGTTTGGGACATTTGGTGGTGTCGCCCACTGATTTTGAATACAGCTGTCTTCATTGAAAGATTGTTTGGATATTTTTGCACATCTGCAGGTATGAGCTGCTGAAGAGCAATTTTCACCAGGATCTTCACAGGTCAGACAGATATGCTTGCATGTGCTGTGTTTACACATGATTGACAATGACATGTTTGACTTTTCTAGCTTAAACATGTTGTATGAATGTATTAATAATAAACATGCAGGACTGTAATGTATTCACAACCTAAACATATAAGAATATAAAAAAAACCCAGAAAATCCAGAAAATCTTAATCTAGGGCTGTATTTTACTAATTTATTTCAGTGATAGTAATATATGCTGATAGTTCCTGTTTGTGTTGATTCATCAGGTTGAGCTGGTATTGTCAGCGTTAGGTTCGGTGCAGGCCTACACCTCACACCATCAGTTATATGATATCTACACACAGCGTTAGGACGTGTTTGGAAACAAGCACCCTGGGCATCAAGATTTGCTACTATTGACTTTATATGTGCACATCACTTAAATCTTTAACTTCTAACATTAGGGTTTTTCACAAGGACCCCTTGTGGTTTTATTGTGATGGCTGTGTGTACATTAAGTCTACGGACTTGAAGGTAGACATATTTAGATCTACATTTTGACATTTGCATGTGTGTCTATTGGGTCCATATTAGCATGGTGATTGTGTAAATAGATCAGGAAAATAGAACCATGCAGGGAGTGTCATGATCAAAATGATGTGTTGTATCTGTGTAGATGTAGGTTGGGAAAGTGAATTTCTTTCTAGAGTAATGTCTTTTATCTTTGCAATCCCGCTGTAAATTCAACTTTCTATGTTAGACATGTGTGATGTCCATGCAGATACCTTATCACTGACTAACTCACTCACTCATGGCCTTTCATGTTTGTAATGATCACCCCGGACATACACTTGGCATTTGGGTGATGAAACTTCGACTGTTCAGTGTACTAAGTTATAGTCGTTGTTTTTGGTTAACTAAAGCATGGCATCTCATTGGGCTAGTAACATAAAGTCAGCATTAGTTGAAACCTGTACAAAGTCAACCAACCCCACACATACTCATATGTGTTTGTTGTTTATATAATCTGGCAGATAAACACAATTTCATAAACACCATTTCATCTAATTCCATCTCGAGGCGGTCGGGGTAGCCTAGTGGTTAAAGCGTTCGCTTGTCACACTGAAGGCCTGGGTTCGATTCCCCATATGGGTACAATGTGTAGAGCTCATTTCTGGTGATATTGATGGAGTATTGCTAAAAGCGGCGTAAGACTAAACTCAGTCACTCACTAATTCCATCTCATAGTTCATATGCTAAAGAAAAGACCTTATTGATTTTGCTATGATGAAAAAGAAGGATCAAACTGAAAGCCTTACATAAAAGTTAGATGCAACAAGACATTTGCTGTGATCATGGTGATGTTCTGGGATCTTAGACAGTGTTGGAGATTGTGCAGTTACATCCTTCATGGCATGACAAGAGCATCCAACACGTCATGCAAGACTTTGTTGGAAGTTCTAGAAGTTCTGTAAATATCAATTTTGAAAATTGCTTTTTGAAATAACAGCAACTGTCTCTCTGTCACCATGTTATAAAGTCACGTAAAGATAACATTAAAATCGTTTAAACATGTTTGACTAGGAAAGAGATTTCGTAACATTTCAGAAAATAGGACTTGTTCAAGTACAAAATATTAAACACATTTCTTAGTTTTAGCAGTGAAACAGGGAATTTCTAGTACTTAGTAGTATAGTACCTGATGTGACCTGCTATATTTGAATATTCAAGAATATAATAATCATTATTATGGACGGTATCAACATTCATGATAAATCAGTTGATGAAGCAGCTATGTTTTTGTATTGGATGTGTTTACATGTTAGAGGCGACTAACGGGATCGGGTGGTCAGGTTCGCTGTCTTGGTTGACATGTCATCGTATCCCAATTGTGTAGATCGATACTCATGCCTTTGATCACTGAATTGTCTTGATTATTTACAGACCGCCGCCATAAAGCTGGAATATTGCTGAGTGCTGCATAAAACTAAACTCACTCAGTGATTTTACAAGCATAATAAGATTTACGCTTTAAAACTAAAGGTAATATTGATCACATTGGAAGTTTATTTAAGGTTGTTTTTTTCTAACAAGTCGTAAGTTCAACCATCTTCATATGGTGTTTGAAACTCGTCATGGAATGATTCCATCTCTGTTAAAGTATTTACACATAAGGAAACAGAATTAAGATGTCAAAGACGAAATGTTAACCGCAACACTTCAAAAGCTGGCAATATTTACGATCAGGGCAGATACTTCAAGAAAAGGCCAGATGTTCTCATCAAGTTCGACCAGTGCTCTAATGTTGAAACTCCCCACTACAGATATTATTATGATGTTATAGGAGTATCATTTTTACCAGATAAGCACTTGATCGGACTTGATGCACTAAACTGACTTAACCTTATTGATAAGGATACTGGCTTTCAGACACCACTGCTGGCCTTGAGGCTCTGTGGGCCAGTGGATTTTATTGATGTAAGTAATGACATTCAGTCAACTTTATGATCACGATGATAAAGTGTAAGGGTTGTGCTGAGACAGTGTTTCTTGTCATCGTTAAACGTCCTAGAGCAATGAAGTTGATGGTCCATGAGAAGTTTCAGTGAAAGCCCTTTTCTCTCAGTTCTAAAGGTTCTGCAAGGTGTGCTTGAGAGGTGATGGGTAGTCTAATGGTTGAAGTGGTTGATCGTCATGATTCCCAGCACGGGTACAATGTGTAAAGGCATGTCTGGTGTCCCCTGCTGTGATATTTCTGGAATATTGCTAAAATCGACCTCCCTCCATCCCTCCCTCCCTCCCTCCCTCCCTCCCTCACTCACCCACCCACCCCTCCCTCCCTCCTCCTCCCTCCCTCCCTCACTACTCACTCGCTCCCCCTCACTCACTCACTACTACTCACTACTACTCTCACTCACTCTCGCTCGCTCCGTCCCTCCCTCCCTCACTTATTCCCCTCCCTACCTCCTTCCCTACCCCACTCACTCCTCTTCCTTCACTCACTCACTCCTCACTCACTACTCACTACTCACTCACTCACTCAAAATTCACAACATCAGTGACTACCATTTCCAGCTGCCCAAACTCCATGTAGCCGTGAGAGACATACCACGATAACAATACAGTCATAATAAATTTAAGACAGAAATGGTTTTATTTAAAACTTTAAACATCATATTTTGTAGCTCATAACAGTATCTTATAACTGGACTTGATACCACAGTTGTCTTGAAGTACAGATGTATGACAATCATGATATTTAAGTAATGCATGGGTTGATGTTATTAAAAAAGATTTAAAAAATTTAAATCTGATGTAAGAGGAAATATTCCTGTTAAATTAACACATAAAATCATCTGTTAAATCTTCACATTTTTCTTATGTATTGCTTATTAAGGGTACGGATGTAATAGTAATAGATCTGTGATATTTAGGTATTGTGGTACCAAGCATTGAATTTCATTGAAGTCAGTGGTAGTATGAAAACTGCATGACAATCCTACTTGGAGACTCATCTCACGATGATACTCATTATACAGCTCGCACATAGAGAAACGCTTATCAATTTTTAGGGATGAGGTAGAAAATTAGTAACTGTATAATTGCTTCATTGAAGATGGCCCTGAGTTTTGTTACGATCAAGAGCTCTGGTCGCTTTGTAGAAATGAGGCCAGTTCCACAAACAGAACTTACCAATTACGACAATAATAAGTCTGTGTAAAAGTAGG